CATGTCGACATGATGATGGTCATTTCAAGAACAGGCAGAGAGGAACACTAGAGGAAAAAGAAGCACGTCGACATGATGATGGTCATTTCATGAACAGACAGAGAAGAACACTAGAGGAAAAAGAAGCACGTCGACATGGTGATGGTCATTTCATGAACAGACAGAGAAGAACACTAGAGGAAAAAGAAGTAAAATATACCAACGGCGTCGTCAAGTCACCAACAGCCGTCAGTTCAATGCTCGGTTGAAAAAGTTGTTAGTATGACACGAAAGTCTACATGTATTTAGCACCAGGGTCTCAGATAAGACAATGCCAACCTTACGGGGAGCCAGGGCGGATACACCTGCTATCATGTAATTAAGTCTGTTTAAACCTAACCCCCACCAATCCCTCCACCCTCACTAAAAACAAGTAACAAATGAAAATGTCTAAAAATATACTTTAAAATTATCACGAGCCAAAGCATACCAACTTGTCCATGTACGTCAAATCCTGTGTGTATATATCGTCAAAGCGCTGCAATAATGGTCTAAATCAGACTCAGGCCAGAATCAAACTGAATCACCATGCTATTCTTTAGTTTTAGTTTGAGTAAGAGTTTTACAGCACTAACAACACAATAGGGTCATACAAACGCCGAAGATTAGGGGTGTCCCAAGAGAGTAACAAACACAAAATAAAGAGGAGAGACAAGGGCGATAGATGTTGACAGGAAAGAAGGAGTATACCACATCTGAGTACAAGCCAACCACCCACTCGTCATTCCTTGTACAAATGTCAGCAACCACGTCATATAACAGTAACCGCAGAAGTTGTACGCCCCCATCGACACAACTACGGTCATTTACCTAGCTCGGGCTGAGAGGAATACAACGTCTCAACAGAAAAAACCCGGGAGATATTCGACAATAATAATTCTCCCCACTCGGGAAATGAACCCATGAATTCTGCGCGCGACAGCGAACAGCCTGACCTCTACTCACAGACACGGGTACATAGAACAATGTACAAAATGTATGAATTCCGTCTAGTCTGAATCAAGAATTTGAAAAAAAAAAAAAAAATCAAACAAACTGCAAAAAAATATATTTAAAAAAAATTGAGACACTGCGTGGGCAACAGTGTATAGCTGGGGCGTGATGACGCCATTCCTTTCAAACACATTGTTCTCCTTTCGTCACACCTTCACGAAAATGCTGAAAAGGGCCAGGTCAGTCAGAACTACTGTCACAGTTGGATGTTTAAACGGTCGGTAATTCGTGTGAACGGTAATATTAATTCCACAAAACTGGTGTCATAGCTGGATGTTTAAAAGATCGCCAATTTTATCAGAACCGAAGAGTTTTTTCGCAAAACCACTAAATCTTCTCGATACAGTTTTGCGTGAGGGATGATAATTTCAACGACTTGCGCAAAGATTTCAGTTACGATTTCTTTCGCGCACTTCCTAATCGTTCACTGCTTCCATTTGTGCTTTTTCTTGTTTTAGGTAGACTGAGTGCTTGTTTATAAAAAAAAATTAATTTTGGTCTTTGTGCCACCACCTCCCCCCTTTCTTTTGTTTTCTTCTTTCTCTTGTCACGTTCATCTTCTCTTTCATTCCCATGTCTCTTTTTTCACATCATACATCTCCTTTCCTTTCTTCTTTCCTTCTGTTTCTCTTTCTCTCTCTTGTTTATTCTCTTCTTCTTCTTCTTTTTCTGCTCCGTCTCCTTCTTCTTCTTCTTCTTCTTCTTCTTCTTCTTCTTTTTCTCCTCCTTCTCCTCCTCCTCCTCCTCCCCCTCATCTCACTTCTAATATCACTACTACTCGGTACCTAATTGTATACACGACTGTCTAACCAG